CGTAAAGTTTTGATACAGTGACCATGATTTGCTGCACATTAAAACAACACACTATGGTATAAGAGGGCACTCTCTCAACTACCTAAAGTCATACCTTAGTAAGAGAAGCCAATATGTGTGCAAAAATGGCGCTAACTTTTCCACACAAGCAATTACAGTCCTCTTTCTCATTTACATCAATGACCTACCGAATACATCACAACTACTCAAACCCATATTATTTTGCAGATGACACAACATACGTCTTCTCTCACCCAAACCCAGTCATATTGGCCAACACTGTTAATGCTGAATTGCAGAAAATATCTACCTGGATGACGACTAACAAGCTTACTCTCAATACTGACAAAACCTATTTCATTCAGTTTGGAAATAGCGCCACAAATGTTCCACTTAACATAACGCTAAATGGATCACCCATCACAAGACGCACAGAGGGAAAATTATTAGGAATCCACCTAGACAGTAGCCTCAAATTAAAGACACATATACAACAAATTTCCAAGAAAATCTCTAAACAGTAGGCATACTATCAAAAATACGGCACTATGTTCCACAATCATCTCTCCTTGCACTGTATCATTCACTCATCTACCCTTATCTCACATATGGAATTTGTGCATGGGGATCAACAACATTAAATCATCTAAGACCACTAATAACCCAGCAAAAGGCTGCAGTCAGAATGATAAATTCCCACTCGCGACAGCATACTCCACCAATATTCAAAAGTCTAAAACTAATCACTATTAAGAACATCCATACTTATTCTTGTGCCTACTACATACACATAACACTACACTCAAACTTCTCTTCACCAACCTTAACAGCACACATGACCATATCACACTATTTAAGAATTCTATGCACATAAAGGGCCCCAAAATTTGGAACTCATTACCAGTAGATGCTCAAGTAGCCCAGTCTGAACATAAATTTAAGACTTCTCAAAAACCATCTACTCACCCTAAACTAAATACTCATTACCTTAATTTGCCAAAAGATCTCCAAGTTACTCAAAGTTCATACATAACTTAATACTTACTACACTGTAGTACAAATACCTGCCCAAAACCAAACTGCCTTACACCAAACTGTATCATTCTCATACTGTAAACTGCTCTCACCAACGCTCAATATTATATTCCAGTAATATAATTTAAATATTTACTATTGATATACACAACCTTCAAAATACTTACAACTTGTCCTAATGTAATATCCCCAGATTGTAATTTGAGTAAACTTAATGTCTGCTAGAAATGAAAACAGATGTACAAAAACTATGATCAATTTCTCTAGTATTAAATAGTCTGTAAGCCATTATATTTAGTCTGGCCATAATGCCATGGCACGATAGTGGCTCTCTCTGCACTGCAATTCATTATTGTAATTACAGAATCTCAATGTAAACTTGCAAGGAAATACAGGAACTCTGCTGTTGCACTACTTCGGTGTATGTCAAAAGTCTCGCTTGAGAACTATCTTTCTATACCACCAGGAAAGAGCTACCATTTCGGCAACTGGAAATCTATTCCCGATTTCCAGTCGACTACTACTGTCGGCAGCTCAGTTACCAACGCTGTTAGATGAGCACCTTCATAGACATTGTAACTGCCTGGAGCTGGACTTCACAATAGGCACGACTACCTGTGACCTATATATATATATATACTCTTCCTGCTCTCCTTTTCGTTAGTGTGACTTTGTAAATGGTCCAAGTCGGACTGAAACGTCGTCGTAAGCTGCTCTCTTCTATGTGCGGGTTATTTGTGTATCGTTCCACTCACGGTATTGTCTTTTTTTGTTATTTATCTGTGACCTCCTTACTCTATCTCCATGGTCCAGTTACATTCCAGCTACTCCGGTGCGACTTGCCATAACATCGGCACTCAGAACATCTTGTTCATTCATTTATTAATTTAATTTTTCCAGCAACTGCTTCAGTTAGGACGATTAAATGTTTGTTTTATATTTTAAGATTTTTGTTTATGTTCAGTAAGATGCTTCTTAAAATGTTATGATTTTATTTTTCTGTTTTCTTTTCATAAGGAGGGTGAGACTTCAAAAGCTCTTCGAGGGTTTGAAGGGCCCTCACACCTTCCCAGTAGGTGTGAGTAAGACCTGTCTAGCATGGGTCATTAGGCCTGCTGCAGTACTCCATTAGTCTTACGTTCCTAGGAGCCACTAAACACATGGGTAATGAGAGGTAATCGAGTTGATTAGTCAAAATAGAGAATGAGAGTTTCAACTTCATCAAGAATCTCGCCATCATGAAGACATATGCCGCCTCCCTTGAGGGTAATAAGAGGTATTTTGAAATATATTGGCCGTGTAGAAAGAATCGAAAAAGTTGATTAAATGGGTACATATAAATGGGAGGACATAGGGCACAACCAAATAAGGAAGAGCATCTTACAGGCTTGAACGAGTCGCTTAGCTGACAGTAAAGGCTAATAGTCTCAGATTTGTTTTCCTTGACCAGCTGAATTTACAGGTTAAGAGCAGTCATTCTACCTCAACTTGATTCAAAGCTTAGTCTTCTCTATGGTTTATCATCCCACAGAATGCAACTCACAACACTCTATAATAACTCTTGCATCCATTTACTAAGTGAACAGGGGAATAGGTATAAGAAAACAACCGACGTCTCCACCTTCCCCAGGTGAGAAATTGCGTCTTACAGTTGAGTACAAAACGGTAATACTGAACCCATAGAGTACATAAAGAACCTGGGTAATGGGAAGCAATCAACGATAATCCATGAGAAAAATTTTTTTAATTTCCTTGGATCAAGAGCTCTTTACCGATATCAAAGCACCTTCTGGTTGAGAGTACTCATCAGTAGACTGTTATATCTGTGTCCTGGAAAGACAGTCAGGGAGCAAGTGATGGTGAATGAGCTTTCTTCTTTGGATTACCCAGTCTTTGTGGGGAGATGACTTAAGAAATCAATACCTCTCACCAGTACAAGTCCAGCCTTAGCAGCAGCAAGTTTTGTGAGGTACCATTCATAGGTGTTGGGCGCCCAGATACCAAGACGATCTCCACGCTCAAGACCCAGAGCCAATAGACCACCTGCTATTTCCTCACTCTGAAATTAATAAATTACTCAGAACTTCTACCCTATGACTCGACTGGAAACGTTTCGGTCCGCTGACCTTGGTCACTTAAAATGTAGGAGTGACCGAGGTTCACGACCGAAACAGTTTCATTAAATTACCAATTGTTTACGTTTTGTCTTTCTCCAACAATCTGTATCTCATAACAAATTTATCAATAATTCAAGTTTATATGAAGAACAAGAGATATTTCTAGGCTAAATATGAAAAAAAAAAATACCACCAATATATGCCTGAGAACTAAGTTTCTTATCAGTGTATAAATATACTATATGAATCTGTAATATATAAAGTTAACCTGAATGTAACTTATCTAAATTTTTATCTATTGATCTAAGAGGTTAATACTTCTTCCCTGGTTATGTACTTTATTAGCCTAGCCTAGCCTAGCCTAGCCTAGCCTAGCCTAACCTAGCAAGAGGATAACATATATGGCTGAAAAGATTAGAACATGCAATTCTGATTACAATTCTTTGTTACTGAAAAATACTGCACAACAAAAGTAAGATATGAAAGATTATTGACTTCTTGTTTAACTTTGAGAATTAAAGAAACAGAGTAAGTCTCTTATTTGGCGACGTTTCGGCCACTGTGAGACTTTACCAAATACTTGACTAAGCCCACCAGTGGTCGAAACATCACCTTACTCTGTTATGAGTCCTTGATTCACCACTTGTCAGCAGCTGCCATTACCTCTTGTTTAACTTGCGAGAATGTTGCTCTCTTGCCCTGCTGGACGGAGACAATGGCTTCTCTGTCACCAAACATGTCCTCGGCTCGGTCCACCATGTTACCCACATGTATCCCCAGTAAGGGCCGCGTGCCTGGGTTGGACACATAGCTCCAAGTAAGTGCCTCACTACTACGCTGCCTAGAAGAAAAGTAAATTATTATTACAGTGAAACCCCGGTGTTGAAACTTAACTGGTTCCTTGGTGGTTTTCGAACTGCGAAAAGTTCGCTGTCCGAGCCCCTTAAGGGAGGTTCCTTGACGCTGGTGAGGGGCTCTTGATCCAGGGAATTGTATCTGTGCTCCAGTTCCCTGAATTGAATCTGAATACCTTACATCTTCCCCCCACATGCACTGTATAATCCTACGGGTTTAGCGCTCCCCCACGATTATAATAATTATAATCGATGTCCGGAACAGTATTTCCCAGGCTTTAATTATCAGCCTCGCACACTGGAGGATATTTAACTGACTCTTCCAAAACTCAGAGTTAAATCAGTGTACGAGGCCACTTCAAAGCGCTTTTGAAACAGGGCTTTCGTGTTCAAAGGCCAGGTCAATTTTTTTCTGAACAAAATTTTCGGACTCTGTTTTGCTGGAGGTTCAGTATGTTCAAACAGAGAGGTTCTACAGTATTATTATTATTATTATTATTATTATTATTAAGGGGAAACCGTAAGTTTCACACAGCGCCTGAGGTAAAGAGCCTCGGGTACAGAGGTTACATCCAAGGGAGAGAGTACCTCAAATTCCATAGATCAACAGCCCCTCACCTTCATCAACACACTTGCCATCTCTCTCCCCACCTTATTATTCATTATATATTTAGTATGTATGTATGTGTGTGTGTGCCTAGAAATGACATTGGAATCTTGGGAAGTCCGTTTCGAATATTTGTGTTGTGATATCCTAATATCTAGAGATTTTTTGTGGAATCAGCATTGCTGGCAGCTAAAAAAAGTTAGCATAGAAATTAGGATATTACAACACAAATATTCGAAACGAACTGCCCAAGATTCCAATAAAACTTTTAGCCACATTAGTCTCTGCAATAACATGGCAAATTGGCCGAAAGCTAGTGTTATTGTACCTTGTTCCACTTGTCATGGACGAAAGATTATAGAATCAACCATCACAAAATATGATATACTTTCATTATATAATAATAGAGGCGGTTTGTTCAAATTAGATTCGTTCATAGTGGAGGCTATAGTCCATAGCCTACACAAATGCGACTGATTGTATTAAATATAGCACAGAGGAGGATAGGGTTGTTTCTGACTGTTAGACCAGTCTCCCTAAGAACCTTGACCTAACTATGGTCAGTTTACGGCAACTTGAGTTGCCGTAAACTGTTTTCTAAGGTATGGAAAATACCCAGACAGTTGCCAGATATCAATATTTAGAATGCTAAGCCTTTTACATCATATCGAAGTTGACGGAATTCTTAATGATTACCATGCCGCTAATGGTTACACTCGTCGTGCTGCCACGATACCATCAGTGCTTGTGGGATGGCAGTCTTGTAATGCCGTAAAAAAATAGTTAACCTTCCAGGCACTGGCATAGGTGGCATGCCGGGGCTCTTCTCTACTTCCCTTCCCCCTCATTCTAGCAATAAATGCTCACTCTGTATATGTTTGCTCAGATTTTAGCTTCCTGCAACACTGCAAGCTCCTAATGTATTGATTGCAACACAAAAGGCCTAGAGCTATCTTTCAACTTTCCTCGAGGTTGTTTTGCATCTTGCATCGCTTGTTCACGATTTTTTACACATGCACACACATGGATGTGTGTGTGTACTCGCCTAGTTGAGGTTGCAGGGGTCAAGTCCAAGCTCCTGGCCCTGCCTCTTCACTGGTCGCTACTAGGTCACCCTCCTTGAACCGTGAGCTTTATCATATCTCTGCTTAAAGCTATGTATGGATCCTGCCTCCACTACATCACTTCCCAAAGTATTCCACTTCCTGACTACTCTGTGGCTGAAGAAATACTTCATAACATCCCTGTGTCCAATCTCTGCAACATCCTGTCTTTGTCCACCTTGTCAATTCCTCTCAGTATTTTGTATGTCGTTATCATGTCCCCCCTATCTCTCCTGTCCTCCAGTGTCGTCAGGTTGATTTCCCTTAACCTCTCCTCGTAGGACATACCTCTTAGCTCTGGAAGTAGTCTTGTTGCAAGCCTTTGCACTTTCTCTAGTTTCTTTACGTGTTTGGCTAGGTGTGGGTTCCAAACTGGTGCCGCATACTCCAAATGGGCCTAACGTACACGGTGTACAGGGTCCTGAACGATTCCTTATTAAGATGTCGGAATGCTGTTCTGAGGTTTGCCAGGCGCCCATATGCTGCAGCAGTTATTTGGTTGGTGCACACTTCAGGAGATGTGCCTGGTGTTATACTCAACTTGCACACGAAAATCACTCACTACGAAAGCAAAAGACTTGGCAGACGATGCACCATCCCCCCAATGAAAAGCAGGGGTGTCACTAGCACGTTAAGAGACCATACAATAAGTGTCAGGGGCCCGAGACTGTTCAACTGCCTCCCAGCACACATAAGGGGGATTACCAACAGACCCCTGGCAGTCTTCAAGCTGGCACTGGACAAGCACCTAAAGTCAGTTCCTGATCAGCCGGGCTGTGGCTCGTACGTTGGTTTGCGTGCAGCCAGCAGCAACAGCCTGGTTGATCAGGCGCTGATCCACCAGGAGGCCTGGTCACAGACCGGGCCGCGGGGGCGTTGACCCCCGAAACTCTCTCCAGGTAAACTCCAGGTAAACCTCAAGATCTTTTTCCTTGAGTGAGGTTTGTAGTCTCTTGCCTCCTAGACTGTACTCCGTCTGCGGTCTTCTTTGCCCTTCCCCAATCTTCATGACTTTGCACTTGGTGGGGTTGAACTCCAGGAGCCAATTGCTGGACCAGGTCCGCAGCCTGCCCAGATCCCTTTGTAGTTCTGCCTGGTCTTCGATCGAATGAATTTTTCTCATCAACTTCACGTCATCTGCAAACAGGGACACTTCGGAGTCTATTCCTTCCGTCATGTCGTTCACAAATACCAGAAACAGCACTGATCCTAGGACTGACCCCTGTGGGACCCCGCTGGTCACAGGTGCCCACTCTGACACCTCGCCACGTACCATGACTCGATGCTGTCTTCCTGACAAGTATTCCCTGATCCATTGTAGTGCCTACTCTGTTATCCCTGCTTGGTTCTCCAGTTTTTGCACTAATCTCTTGTGTGGAACTGTGTCAAACGCCTTCTTGCAGTCCAAGAAAATGCAATCCACCCACCCCTCTCTCTCTTGTCTTACTGCTGTTACCATGTCATAGAACTTCAGTAGGTTTGTGACACAGGATTTCCTGTCCCTGAAACCATGTTGGCTGCTGTTGATGAGATCATTCCTTTCTAGGTGTTCCACCACTCTTCTCCTTATAATCTTCTCCATGAATTTGCATACTATACATGTCAGTGACACTGGTTTGTAGTTTAGTGCATCATGTCTGTCTCCTTTTTTAAAGATTGGGACTACATTTGCTGTCTTCCATGCCTCAGGCAATCTCCCTGTTTCGATAGATGTATTGAATATTGTTGTTAGGGGTACACACAGCACCTCTGCTCCCTCTCTCAGGACCAATGGAGAGATGTTATCCGGCCCCATTGCCTTAGATGTATCTAGCTCACTCAGAAGCCTCTTCACTTCTTCCTCGGTTGTGTGTACTGTGTCCAGCACTTGGTGGTGTGCCCCACCTCTCCGTCTTTCTGGAGCCCCTTCTGTCTCATCTGTGAACACTTCTTTATATCTCTTGTTGAGTTCCTCACATACTTCATGGCCATTTCTTGTTGTCTCTCCTCCTTCCCTTTCCCTTAGCCTGATTACCTGGTCCTTGACCGTTTTCCTCCTGGTGGTGAAACAGCTTGGGGCAGTTTTGGCTTTCACTGCATGTCGTTTTCATATTGTCGTGGGCCCCTTTTTATCGGGATATTCTTTCTGGCTCTAGACTGCTCTCCTTTTCCCCTGGTCCTTTGCCTTCTAAATTTTTCCTTCCCTACACCGGTTTTTTTGGCCTCCCTGCCCCTTTTGGGTGAACCAAGGCTCGCCTGGTTTTTCTTTATTCCTTTTCCCCTTTGGGTAAAAACCTCCCCTCACCTCCTTGCACATTGTTGCTACATATTCCACATCCAAAAAACGGGCTTCCCTGCCATTTTCCTGTCCAACTGAACCCCTCGGAATTTTCCTCTTTAAACCGGAGTTTACCTGGAAAATTTTCCGGGGGGTCAACGCCCCCGGGGCCCCGGTCTGTGACCAGGCCTCCTGGGGTAAAGGCCTGAAAACCCGGCGTTGCTGCGGCGCACGAAAAACCCAACGACGAGCCACCCCCGCTGATCAGGAAGACTTTAGTGCTTTCCGGGGCCAGCTTGAAGACTGCCGGGGGTCTTTTGGAAAACCCCCTTTAGTTGGGGGAGGCAGTTGAACAGTCCGGCCCCTGACATTATTGTAGATCCTTAAACGTCTAGTGACACCCCCTGTTTTTCATTGGGGGATGGTGCATCGTCCCCAATTTTTTGCTTTCGTAGGATTATTTTCGTTGAAAGCCCGGACTAGCCCCCTTGGGTTTTCCAGTGAAAAATCATGATCTCCCCTCCTGCTTTCCGGGAATACAGTTTTGAACCTCAAGCGCTCCCGGGAATTGAGGCGTTTTTCTCCGTTAGGGGGCCCCTTGAAAGTTCTCTGTACATTTTCCGGTGGGCAATTTCCCCAGCCTTAAAAGGTGCTGTTAGTTGCACATATTCCACCTAATAGAACAAGACCTGAAGAGTGTCACATGGCTTGGGCCCCCCTAGTTTTTAAGGTTCTCATTTTCCATCCTGTCCCTTTTTTTTAGCAATCGATTGATACAATGTTAGGCCTTGAAGGGAATCTCCCACATATCACTCCCCGGTCTTTGACTTGGTGTTTCGCTCATTTTTTGGCCAGAATTTTTTTTGTACTCTTGAAGATTTTAATTTCCCCCCATGTTTACCATATCTGAGTAATTTAAAATTTTTCCCTCGTTGAACTTCATATGTTTTTTTGCAGCCCACTAAAGATTTGGTTGATGTCCCCTGGAGCCTTGCAGTTCTGAAAGGGAAGACACG